AGAGACGTTAGCCAGTTGTGCGAGGTATCGGCTGAGATTTGTGGAGTACAATTCAAAAAACAACTATAGGTCTAATAATGAATTATTGTGATGTTAAATAGACAATGTTAGCTATCAAGGAGCGACGTTGTTTTTCATTGGGACCTTCGTCCCTTCAAGGATAGGCCTATACCATCCTAGCTAGTCTAGGCCTAGAGTAGGATAAGGCTAGCGCGACATGCGGACGTTGGTATGTGTTGGTTAGTCTACAAACGTCGCCTAAAGTAATTGAATTTACCCGGCAGAACGAAAGATGGAAACTCCGCTTTTCAGTCGTCTTAGGCCCTTGTTTTTTTGACAAACATTGACCTTTCAGAGGTCAAATCGCTGTCAAGAATATGAATTGGCTGCTTCGCAGCAACTAACAATATTATCTCTCAAATTGCAAGAAAGAATGATGACAACTTTTTAATTTCTTTTTTAATGAAATTGGAAAGCGAATTATCATTTTTGAAATGCTTTAACATTTCCATCATAACTGTACAAGGCATAGAATGTATCATCTTTTAATCTAATTTCAATATGTTCATGCATACACAACTCATTATGTTCGACCCAGATGAACTTAGGTCATTTAACCTTTCCGTCTTTAATCACTCGACCAAGTTTATCCACCACATAACCACCGAAAATACAAGTATCTTCATCATCAATAACATTTATATCTTTACGCTTATTCATATGCAATTTGAATGACTGTCTGGCACTAAATTTGGTTTGTTCGTTATCAGAATTTAAACACTGGAATAGGAACGATAACTTAGAAGCAAACTACACACTGTGAACACAGCGTGGAGGATTTTAACGCAAAGCTCCACTCAATTTTGTCTCCTCTCTGGTGACACGTTTAAAAGCTAAATGTGTTTAGATATATCTTAATGTGCTTAGGATCTTTACGTGTTTAGAATTAGGTATTTGACATCACGATGTCAAATACCTAAGCACATTTAATGTTAAACACGTCAGAAACCTAAACACATTAGGCGGACCTAAACACGTTTATCTTTTAAACGTGCCACAAACGACAGGACAACATTGTGTGGATCTTTGCTTTTACAGTGACACATGGTTACAGGATTAATAATACCTAGACCCCCTTTGCTACATGGTATAAACATGAGGTATCTGTTAGATGACGTAGGTACTTAACAATTATATTGTCATTTTTTTTCAATTTCTTTAATGTAGTTGACATATTACACAGAGCTTTGACAATTTATCTTTGACAATGCCATTTCATTATTCGCCTTTATTATAGCTTAGCCACATTTAGGAGTGGGGAAAAATCAATTAGTGTCATATTTACTTTGAAATCATTGCAGATTTCCAATTGGGCGTCAGATACTTTTCCATCTAAACTTACATCGAATCCTAAGTAGGCCTATTTGTATTTGCCCAGCTTTGAAATTGTATCATAATAATTAATTCTTTTATTCATTCATCAAAAACATATTTGATATAAAATAGACATCGAAAATGACAAAAAAGAACAACACCAACAAGGGAAAAAATTACAGTAGAAAAAAAAATAGATATTGCGTCTCTTAAAGCTTTGACAAATTTACATAAAATGTTAGGTCTTTACTATTACTGTACAATTATTTCCCGTCCGGTGCCCGTGTAATAAACCACATTTTGTATGTTTTACATTCATACCTGTTAATTCAGCAAGTTTTGTTGTTTTGTCACACATGATACAGAACTCTTGTTAATTATTTGTACTCATTGCAACATCATCATATTCCTGTACAGGATTTGGTATCATGGGCTGTTACTCATTACCCATCGAATCCAAATATCAATACCCTTATGCTTAAGGTCAGCTATCGCTGTTTTCATGCAGAATAATAATAGGTCCTTGTAAACCATTCCTCTGCTTCTCACCTTTTGGTTTTCAGACAGTCACTGGATTTCAATAACTCTTCTTTCTAATAACTTATTAAATACTTATAACAGCTTAACAGAACTAATTTCACAGTAACAATTTTCTAGAATACATACTATTTAAGAAAAATAACAACGCTGATAATGACGATGATGATAATAATGATAATGATAATAATGATAATAACAAGATAATCTGCGATTACAAGCCCTCGCCCTGTTGCGCCGTATCTATTATAGTCAATTCTCCTGATCCGCTGGTTGTATTAGGGGTGTAATATTACTAACCATACGCATCAGGTCAAGTGAGCCGAGCGGATTAAGGTGCACGTACTATGTGCGGAGTAGATCGACTGTATGAGGTTCGAATCTCCCTCTCGTTTTGGTTTTCTTAACATTATAATTTATTATCAATATTGTTAACTTTTTAATTTATAGAATACATTTTTCATATTTATAATTATTGACAATTATTATCACTTTAATAAGAATAAAATTGAGACATCAGGTTATGAGATATATACGGCCAGAAAATATTCTAAAATCTGCATCTTCAATCATACCCTCGCTTCCTCCTTCGGAGGGGAAGGTAATGACCTAATAATAATAATAATTATTATTATAATGCAAATAACAATAGGCTATTTTTATACAATGAACCTTTGCGACAATCAACAATTCGTTTCACATTAATTTCACTTATTATTATCAACTCAGGGTTATATTAATTGAGCTCAATAATTAACAATCATGTAATGCGTTGCCAATAGATAGCAATTGAAAACATTTATTTTAAATAGATGTCAGTGGTCTTTGACCTTCGATAATATCGCCAGATATCCGGGGCTTGGCAATATGGACAACAGCTGTTTCGACACTCCCTTTTGGCATGCTACATGTATTATATTTTTTATGAATAGAAAGGCTATGAGAAACAATTAGCAAATTAAATTAATTCATTCACAATGACAAGATATGAATAGTACCGCTGTACGTTGCAAACGATGCTTTCTTCAATAGAGCAAATACAACAGCAATTTCTTGCACAACAATGTTAAGTGCAACGAGGGTGTGATGAAGATGACTGTTAATTTGCTGACAACCTAACCTATCACCCAGTCGGTCAGATTTTATTAACTACTAATATTATAATAGAAACAAGTTACCTTTCAGAGATAATGGCTTAATAACAATAATAATAATAATAATAATAATAATAATAATAATAATAATAATAATAATAATAATATAATAATAATAATAATAATAATAATAATAATAATAATAATAATAATAATAAAATATTATAATAGAAACAAGTTACCTTTCAGAGATAATGGCTTTATAATAATAATAATAATAATAATAATAGTAATAATAATAATAATAAAAATAATAATAAAATATTATAATAGAAACAAGTTACCTTTCAGAGATAATGGCTTTACAAAATAATAATAATAATAATAATAATAATAATAATAATAATAATA